GAAGAAACATTTACAGAACAAGCTGTTATAGATAATCAAAGAAGTTTGCGGAGTATGAAGGTTATTTGATCCTCTGCAGATCAGAGGGCATCAGTTTGGAGGCAGCAGCTGGTCTCTCATTAATGATCTTAGTGTGAAACCGCCTGCAGGGACGAAGCTCCTCCTCCTCTTCACCTCATATTGATCAGCTGAAAAAAATCCTTGAGGCAAATATAAGCAAGAATAAGAGAATAAGGACAGAACTCAATGTGTTCTGAGACGTTTCAAAAGATGCCGCTGAGTAGAAGCCTTTTTTTTTTAAGTTGAACAGAACAGTGACAACTTCATTATTTAAAAAGTAATTCTGTTTTCCTTTTTTCTTTGTGACTTCCTGCTTCCTGTGAATGCAGCATTTCTCCTTTACATCTTTTGTTTATTTTGTTATCTATTGTGTTTTATTTTTCTATATTTTGGAGTTTGGATCATCCATGTGCTTGCAGAACGCTTTATCATTTGCCTGCTGACACCTGTTGGCCACTGTTTGGCATAGCTTTATGTTTCCTTTTCATTGCAAAGCAAGTAGCTCAGCATGGATTTAATGCAGATCGTCAAATAAATCCTGTTCATGATGAAGTCAGTAACTTCATCAGATGTTGGGAACACTTTACATTAAGGTTCACAAAATTTGATTAACTACTAAAAGGAATGAATCAGGAATGAATGAATCCAGTACTTCCTGGGAAATACACCGTCCAGCTTCAGTAATCAGTCCTGACTGGGAAAAACAAAGCCCAGCCTTATCACCCAGTACATACTGGGGGGCACACAGCCAAACCTCATTAGGGAACGCTGTCCTTTTATCAGGAAATCGAACAGGAACCAATCCGGAACTAATTGGTAGTTATCATGAAAACCACAGATGAAATAAACAGGAATTAATGAGTAGTTTAGAAGAATTTACTAGGTGAACACACAGTTTAGCTTTATTAACCAGTAGTTACTGGGGAACACAGAGCCAAGCTTTATTAGGGGACCAGTGGTTTGTTACCAAAGAAACATTCAGAAACATACCAAACGTTTCTGAATTAACCTTGCAGCAGTGATGTCACAGTTCATCATCGTCAAAAACGTGTCAACTAAAAATTACTGATTTTACTGGATTTTCTTTATTATTAAACCTTTGATGAAGAACAGAAAACAATATTTCTCTGGCTAAAATTTTTGCTAACTTCATGTAGTGTAGTAAACGAGGGGAACAGATTCATATTTAAGCAGTACCTGACTGTTACCTGATGCTTTATGGTTCCCATAACCCTGTTACTACAGACAACCTGAGAATTTTACCATCCTAAAAAGGCCAATTTATTTATTACGTAAAAGTACTTTTCCACTTATGTGTTTAGTTGATGTCATTTTAATCTTGAACACTATCAAAATACTCCCTCCTTGAACTTCATCAATCATTGTAATAATCCTCTGAATTTACATTCAGAGAATTTCTCTTAATTTTTATCACCCTGTTTTAAGTCAGAGGTGACCTCTCATCACTAGCATATCCCCTAAAAATAAAAAATTACTTCAAATATTTACTTTATAAATATAACATTTTAACTCAACACATGCCAAATATAGAAAAGTTAACATTTTACATGCATAAAACAAAAAACGTGCTTTATAAAAAATGCATTTGCGCAGAAATTAAATGAGGTACTCTATCTTGCCTTGATTAGATCATGCTTAAAGAAGTTCTTCATTCTGAGACTAAAAACAGCTAAATACAAATTAAATGAAGTAAGATATTCTCAGCATAGCAAATGTCTTTCCCACTATATTTGTTTAAGACATTTAAAAAAGAAAATCTTCTGCTTAGATCTTGAATATATTTCTAGAAGTCTCCTTGTGTCCTTCATCGGTTGGATGTCCTCCAGAAGACTCTGCCTGATTCAGGGCCGCTTTATTTTGTGGAAAAGGATCATGAAAGTGTTCACTTGGTTCATTGATTTGCTGAGATTGTCATATTTCTCAGCGCTGACAGCCTGCAATTCTGCCTTTGCAGCTGTATCTACAAATTGTTTTACTGTCAACACCTATCTTTTTAAAATGCTGCCATCATTGTTTTTCCTTCCTGCTTGGCCATTAGCAGCAGCATGCATCTCCCCATGAATTCTTGTAGTCTTAAAATTGAAACAAGAAATAGTGTAATGTCAGAATGTCGATAGGGATTATTGACAGCAACAAAGACAACTTTTAAAAAAATACACCAATTGCAAAACTTGTAACAGAAGTAATTTTATTTAAAATCACAATTTGATGTATTACTAGTATTAAAATGAGATGGTGTACATTTCTGAAGCACTTTCTAAAGAAAACCTGTAATACGGTCCTATCGTATGTTTTATGCATCAATGGTGTCTCACTTTTTTTTTTTTTTTTTTACATTTTTATAAGTTTTGTGTTTTTACAAACAGAAAAAATAGAAAATTGTACACTGTGTTGCCTATCATCTTACATGAGTATGGGATACGGAGCAGGAACAAACAAACAAACAACAAAAAATATATGAAATAAAATAAAAGGAGGCCGCCGTACAATTCACGTTAAATCATGTCTTCAGTGGCTGGCAAACATTAACAGACATATTTAAAGCCTAGCTGGGTGATCAAAGAAAGAAAATGCATAGTGATACAAAAGGAGGATGTTCATTAGTTAACCCTTTAACACCTGGACTATAAAATAATTGAGAGAATTGTTTTTTGTTTTTGTTTTTTTGTCATTGAACTTCCTGACAAATGACATCAAAAAACAGATTTTTTTGTTCATTACATGCTTATACTTATTGTGTAAGTCAAGGTTTTCAAGAATAAAAATATAACAATGATGTAGAGGTGTCAAAAACTGTATAAAAAATGTATCAAATATGATACAACAGCTTTAAAGGATTAAGATCTGGTTAGAAGTAAGACTTTATAGGATTCTGACGTCTCATCACAAGTTACGTCAGCTCTTTAGGTAAATAGCTACGCACAGGAGACCACATATCAGTGAAATGTTTCTTATTACCCTTAAGAACTGCTCTAATCCTTTCATGAGGTCATGAGGAAGGACCCTAAATATTTCTATTTACCATTGTGTTTTAGTTGGTGGTTTATCCTTAATCTAATAAATTAACTGCATTTTCTAGCAAAACACAATCATTTTTCACTAAGTTTGAAGTGTGATTGTGGCCAACAAGAAACAGACCTGGGTCACAGCTGATTTTTAAATGAAACATGTCACTCACCTCTTTAGAAATTGCACCCCAGAATCTTTTAATCGGTCTGCATTGCCAGAAATAATGGTAATACGTTCCAACCTCTCTTTTATATTTATTGCATAAGAGAGAGATCAGGTGATCCATCTTATTCAATATAAAAGGTGTTATATATAGATGATGTAGTATTTTAAACTGTCTCTCTCAACGTCTTACATATAAAGGTTGAATTAACCATATTAATGGCTTCTTGCCAGTCATCCTCGATCTATACTGTGTCAAGGTCTCCCTCCCATTGTCATGCAATGTCCCTGGCATCGCCTGGGGTGAGAGAGTAGAGCACTGCATAGAAAGTGTGTCACTTTTCAAATAAGTTGATAATTAAACATGCATAAAGTGAGAAAAATTTCCCTTTTATCTCCCCTTTCTTTCATCTTTTTTCTTTTTTTTTTCTTTTTTTCCCTTTCCTGTTCTACCTACATTGCGTTGTCCATATAATCTGTAATACTCCCTGCATGAATTATAATAAAGCTATTTATATGCATTAATCAAGAGGAACATTTACTATGGCGATAGCCGTACTGATCCACTTGTTAAAGCAAAAGCTGTTGGGCTCTTTTTTTTGGCATCAAGACAATTATTCTCATTGACACATTGCCAGACAGGATTTTTTTAATTGGGCAAAAAAGTATTGGTTTCATTGTTCACCATTGTATAAAAGAAAGTTGCAGTTTCATTTAACAGACAAACAACTGGTTAGTAGATCAGCTTTGCGTGTGCAATGAAGTTTGCATGTGTTCCAGGCCCTAAATCTCCTAAGAACATCCCAGTTGGTAGGTCTACGGTTTGAGTTGGTTTATTTTAGCTCAGTTAAAATAAAAAGTGTAATCGAACCTACTGGTTAGCTCTCACCCCGCTGACAGTTATTGCTTTAAAAGGAAATATATATAAATGATAAACTGATTTATTGTCCCACAACGTGGAGATTGCTCTGCATTTGACCCATCTCAGTGGGCTGCCATTGTGTGGCGCCCGGGGAGCAGTGTGGGGTTAAGGCTCTTGCTCAGGAACCCATTTTCCTCCAAGCTCGGATCACCCTACCAGAGGCGCAGGGTTCTGCGCAGAACCCTCAAGCTGCCAGGACTCTGGGAAAGGAGAAGATTATCATAGCTTAACATTTTTGCCTCTTACGGCAAAAAGGTTATAGACAGCTGAGTTTGTAGACAGTTTCTCTATTTGCAAAGTTAATGGATAAATGTCCTTCTGCATATTTCTTTCTCTGGTCAAGCAAACTTCTAAGGCCCTTTTCAAACCTACAAAAAAAAAAATTCTAATTTGGTTCAATATTCTTTTAATGTTAAATCTATTCCTGCGCAATAATTATTTATTCTGTCCCCAGAGTATTTTGACACCACTACTAATGTTACATAATTACCTTGATAGGTTTTAATTTTGTTTGTTTTTGTTGTTTAGGGGGCATTATAAATACTTCAGGTTATAATCTGTAAGAAGTTCTGTATTTGTTCATCTGCAGGATTCTTACTTGTCCAACTGGTTCAGGCAAAAGGCCTTTGATAATTTGGGAAAACATAACCTACATCCTTTTCTCTCTTTCATTCTAACCAAACACAGAGACTGCCCTCACTGTTGTTCCTTCTGCCCGGTCTTTATTACCAAACTGTCAAAGCTGTATTTGCAGAAAAGATGGAGAAAACACAGAGATTACAACAAGTTTAGGTTCTCAGTCAGATCTTTTTATTTTGCATTTATTCTCCAAAACGGCAAGGTTTCCTAACACATCAAGAAATGTTTCGATCTTGGATTAGATTTCAGTGCAGTGCTGGTAAAGTATGCAGGTTTTCGATTATGTCTGATTCACAGATGACCTTGAGCCTGGTTACAACCTGAAAACAGGAGAATACTTTGTAAGATATCAGAGTATTAGCAGCCTAGACAGTACTTGTGGCCAGTTTAATTACCTGCTGCACTGTATGAAGGGATGTCATCCCAGTTGGGCGGCTCATTCATAAAGGCTATGTCTTCGATCAAATTTGAAGCGTGGTCGTTTCACCTTTAAGCGTTGACGTCTACATGCGGGCCTAATTGACCATCTTCCACAGTGTAAAGCAGAATCTTTGTAAATCTTGTTGTCGTGGTAGTGGTCGTGGTCGTGGTCGTGGTGGCTCTCTTGGTCAGGGAGGTAATGATGGTATTCATGTGTGTGTGAGTCTATGTACTCGGTGCAGGTCTTTCCACAGTATTTGGTTCCCCCTCTGACACCTCCAAAGAAAAGAAAAACAAGTTTAACAAAAAGCTCAAAGATATTTGCACATTTATTATTTGTTGGTTTAAACAATAGCTCGGAGTAACAGCCTGTAAAGTCTTACTTGGACAATCTAATTCGTAGATGATGACCGTTGAATGCCTTAAATCATGCACCTCGTGCTCCTGAATCAGGTCCAACTGGTGGTACAAAGGATGATCGTTGCTTAGCTAAAAAAAAGGAGAGAAAGTTTAGCAAGACACCCAGCCAGAACCATGCGCTCCTAACATACAGATATCCTCTCACCTCCTGTAGGTATACAATAACATGGCCGCTCTTGTAGTCTACGTCGTTCACATGGTCTGCCTTCTTCAGCTGTGAAAAGACATTTAGCCAAATGCTTCATATCATTTTTTGTTTGTTTACATAGGGTGACCATATTTTCATTTGGGAAAACCAGGAC